TAAACATAGAAATATTTACATAAAGGAAAAAGGGAAAGGGCGAAACATGGAAATAAACAAATAAGGAAGAGGGAAAGGGGTGGAACATGGAAATATACAATATATAAGCAAGGGAAATAAATAGCAATTAGACATTGTAATAATCAAACAAGCAACGAAATAAGCAAATAAAGTAAACCCCACATAAATCAAATGAAACACGTAATTGTTAGAACCTAAAATTTCCAATAGAGTCGTCATTCTGTCGCGCCCCATTTTTCGCAAAATGGTTTTCGATGCACGACCTAACAACTCTTTTGGGTTTTGTTTGGATTGAAGAGTCACCACCTAACGAATTAAGGCGCGTTAGAGAACCTATCTAACCTAACTAGATCTACTTTAAGGTCAACGAACCAGAGATCGGGTAAGAGTTCAAATTACCTCGAGGGAAAGGTGTTAAGCATCCCTCGAGGTCCACAAATGTGGGTCCCGACCGTATCTCATACAATTTATGTGGGGGTTACAAGTAGAAATTAAGGTCTCATTTATTTAATTTTTAATTAAGCATGCTTACTAGGTGATAAAAATAAATAAACATTAATATAAAATAAGAGATAAGCAAGGAGACAAAAGATGCACAAATAGATAGGCGAAACAATTTTATTTTATTAAACTACCCCAAACATTTATAATTATAAAACAAATAAAAAAAGAAAAGGAAAAGGAGACCATGGAATCTAGATTAACACACTTTACGGTTCAACGCTCGACTTATTATTCGATTGGCTTAATATTCGGAAAGACAAAATCAATGTTTGTCGTTTTAAGTCTGAGTCGATTGTCATCATCTCCGTAAAGGTCCTAACTATCCCTACCCTACCTTCCGATGCATTACGTCCTAAAAGGTGCCTAGCATTCCCGCTTAATGTCCAAGAGGCATTGAGCTACTATTTAGGGAGTTTTTAGACTAAAAGAAAATATATGCTCCTAATTAGGCCCTCTAGATACCAAACAAAACACGTTGGACGAGCATTTAGCACATAAAATCTCACAGTGGCCTCTAAATTTTAATTAGCATGCTCGCAAACACAAATAATTAGTGAAAGGTGTCATGCTTAAGTGTGTGCACATAAACAAACAAACATTCCATATAATAAAATTGAATTAATTTTAAAAGGGCAGAAAGTCATTACAAGTGCAGAAAAATCTTATTAGACTGATTTTGAGTGGCCAAAGTTATTCAGAATGCAGTATTTATTATTAGTCAGATTACTCAATGTGGATCAGTTTAAGTGGGCACAAATGCGGGCAAAGATGTTCAAAAATAGTTGCAGATCCAATTGATAATTAATATCAAAAAGGCAAATTAAAACAAGACAAATTATTTTAAACAGTTTAGCATGCTGGAAATTAATAATACCTATGAACATAATTTCTAGGTGATTGAGAAATCAAAACATTGCATATCACCTATAGGCATAATTTTCTAACCCAAATGATAATCTGCTATAAAAGTGGTCAAAATTGGAATATATATATATATATATATATTTAAAAACAAATAGTATTAATAATTCAGTATTTAGATATATAGACAAAATCTCATATATTCAAATGCACATTCAAATTCAGACCTCTTGATCTTAATGAAAACAAATGAGGCCTAAGGGTGTGTTTGGTGGAAAATGTTTTCCATTTTTCCCATGTTAGGTTGACTTAAATGTTTTGGAAAATATTTTTCAAATCAACTTGTTTTCCTCAAATTTAAGGAAAATGACTTCCCTTAAAAAAATTTAAGGAAGACATTTTTCAAAACATTATTTCATACTTAAATTACAATATTTGTTTTCTTACCCCTACCCCCAACCAGTCCCCCCCCACCCCCCCCTCCCAAAAAAAATAAAAAATTTAAAATTATTTTAAAAATAGTTTTACCTCATCCAAACCCTACCATCCACACACCCACACAAGAAAAATATTTTGGAAAAATATTTCAAATTTTTAAAATTTCAATTTTACCTCATCCTATACCGTAACCCTACGACCCCCAGTCCCCCTCTCGTCAATTCTTTTTTTTTAAAAAAACATTCCTTTTTTTGCCACCCGCCACCCCTACTCCCCCACCCAGGGTTTTTGATAAATATTTCAAATTTTTAAAAATTTTCATTTTTACGCTACCCGTCACCTCTACTCTCCCACCCAGACCACTCCAATCAATTTTTTTTAAAAAAAAAATTATTTTTGATAAATATTTCAAATTAATTTTTTTTTATTTTTATGCCACCCCAACCACCCCCTCAGCCCCCCGTGCGACCCCATCAATTCTTTTTAAAAAATTGTTTTAGAAAAATATTTCAAATTTTTAAATTTTTTTTTACACCAGTCCTACCCCAAGCACCCCTTTTCCCCTCCCCCCATCAATTTTTTTTTTTTAAAATTATTTATGAAAAATATTTCAGAATCGAAAGTCTGGGTTAGGTTCTGGGTCATATCTCAGGGTAGGATTTTGGAACGGTTGTCGGGGTCGTATCCTAATTCGAGTGTCAGGATCGGATCCTAGATCGATTATTGAGGTTGATTTTCTGGTCAGAAATTATTTTTCTAAAGAGTATTTTCTAGTCTGAAGCAAAAACTAAAAGATATTTTTTAGAAAATGTCTTTTCTTTCACCAACTAAACGTGAGAAAATAAATCCACTTGTTTTCTAAGAAAATATTTTATAGAAAAATACCAAACATTCTCCGTCGATGTGCCAGCTTCAACGTCTTCTGAAAAATAAATTTAAAAATTATTTCTTTTGTTCTATTTTAATTTAATTAATGTATAATTTTTTCGAAATTATGGAATCCTTTTTAGCTAAAACTTTTAAAATCGACGTGCCTGCTTCAGCGTGTTTCGGAAAAAAATTCAAAAATTTATATCTTTTATTCTACTTTAATTTAATGAGTGTATAATTTGTTTGAAATTATAGAATCGTTTTTAGCTCTGACTTTTAGTTCTCCATCGACGTGCCTGCTTTAGCATGTTTCTGAAAAAAAATCAAATTCTTTTGTTCTACTTTAATTTAATTAGTGTATAATTTTTTTGAAATTATGGAATCCTTTTTAGCTATGACTTTTAAAATCGACGTGCCTCCTTTAGCGTGTTTCATAATTTTTTTTAAGAAAAACTTATTTCTTTTGTTCTACTTTAATTTAATTAGTGTATAATTTTTTCAAAATTATGAAATCCTTTTTAGCTAAGATTTTTAAAATCGGCACACCTGCTTTAGCGTGTTTCGGAAAAATTCAAAAATTTATTTCTTTTATTCTACTTTAATTTAATTAGTGTATAATTTGTTCGAAATTATAGAATCCTTTTTAGCTCTGACTCTTAGTTCTCCGTCGATAACTATATAAGAAATGCGAATAGGACTAAGCAGGCACCACTCCATCAACATGCCTGCTTAAGTCTATAAGGGTATTTCTATCATTTAACTTGTAATGAAATTTTTGATTGGATAGAAAGAAATCTAGCAGTCTAGCTATAACCTTTTTATGCCTATATTTCTATCTTTCCTATTTTATCCTTCCACCTAAGATTGGGTTGTCTCAAATTTATTCTTACATGTGTCGTGTCACATGTAAAAGCTAATTTACTGTTGCCAAATGACATAATACTACATGAATTTTGGGCTTTAACAATGTTTTACATCCTTCGTTTAATTATAGCCAAAAAATATTCACATATTCATCAAATTTAATTCTATTTTCTTATTCAAAATTTAATTTTTATTAAAAAACATTGTGAAATTAATCACTATAAATCATTACTAAATTAATGATTAATATAAAGTATATTATTATAATTTTCTCTTAGATTTTGAAAAGTAATTTGAAAAATAAGTAATTAATATTGAGGATAAAATATGAATTTTTTTTTTGATACATTAGAAGTGAAAAGTAAAAGTAAAAAGATATTACTATATAGTAGACAAATAAAAGTGAACACAGGAAATATTTGACAACTTTCTACTATTTTTTCATACTGTAGCAATTGCGTGTTCTTTTTGTTGACATGAACAAGACAAAAAAATTGTTTTTTGCAGTCGCTCATTTCTTTTCACTTCTAAATTATCCATTTGGATATAAAAATTACGATTCACACTTTAGCAAAATAAATTTTACTTTATTTTGAAATTTAGTGTTTAATTGTGAAAATTTCAAATTTAATTAGAAGTTTTGTTTCAATTTTGAATAATAACTCATAACTTATTTTCTAGCTCACCTTAAAATAGCAATGCATTTAAATATGAATATGTGGTATAAAAAAACATAATTTAAATCATACTTTCCACTATTGTCCTTTGAAAAATCATAAATATAACTTTGTAAGTAATGCAATTTATCTTCTAGAAAATATAAAACTTAATTAAAGGAAACAATAAATATGAAAAAAATTTAAACATCCATCTTAAATTTTGAACAATGAAAAACTCCCCACAAAATTCAGTTTATATGAAATAGAGAAAACAATTAATATAAAATAGAGAAAATATAATTAATCAATATAAAAATTAATGTTATTGGGCCGTGCTTCGCACGGCTATCGTGACTAGTAAGTAAACAAATGAGGCCTTAATTCTCGGCTCTCGCTTATAAGTTTTTAAAAAACCAATTCAAGACCATGGCTCTTTTGACTTGAAGGTCCAAACTCAAGTGATACCCGCTCATCTGATTCAAATATTTCCGCCCTATTTTGATGTATTAGCACAATAATAGTAACCCTGAGGGGTAGCTCAGCTGGTAAAGGCCTGAGACAAAGTCCTTCAGGTCGCCGGTTCGAGCCCCAGCAGGGCCACTGGAGGCTTTACAAACCGGCCGCGTCTCCAGGGCCCCGTGGAACTAACCGTGGTTGACCCGCCTTGAAACAGCGGGACCCGGTGGGTACAGCTAGTCGGGTTCGCAAAGCGACGCCCGGAAACCACGGTTAAAAAAAAAAAAAAAAGCACAATAATAGTGAACTGTTTACTATACCGAAGAAGAAATGGAGACTAAAGGGTCTTCACCATGTCCGTACACGGCCACCATTCGACGGAACCCTCACCGGAAAGCAAGAGCAACACCGTCCTCCACCGCGCCTGTTTCGCTTCTCCAACCTTCATCATCACCGCCGCAAAACATCTCTTCATTCCCTATCGAAGACATTCTGGCCATGGAATTCCCTGAAAAAAAAACTTACGGAGGCTTCATCCGAGAATCTCAAGGTATTTATGAGAATCCGAACATTAACTATTCAACGAGAAACACTGAAGAAAGTTGCGGAAATGAAGAAGACAAAAAATGCTTGGCCTAAAAACCCTAAGTCCACCAATGCGTTGCCTAAGAAGCTCAAAAAGAGCAATGAAGTTTGTGTGACAGTGAACGATGCACATTCTGTAATTGTATCGCCTCCGCAGAGCTTACAAGATGGCAAACGTATTAAATCAGAAGTTTATCAAGGTTTTTCACAAGTCTTCTCATCAGAAGCATCTCAGGTTATTTGCTTATATTTTCAGAAAACCAGAAATTACATTTATATCAAATTGCTGTTTGTATTAAATTGAAATATATCCAAGATTCTCTAGTTTGAGGTTGAGATATTGCGATTTGTGTTGCAGAGGGAAGTGTATGAAAAAATGGTGAATCCTTTAGTTGAGGATTTTCTGAAGGGTAGGAGTGGCATGCTGGCTGCATTGGGACCAAGTGGTTCTGGGAAAACTCATACCATCTTTGGGTGTGGAAGGGACCCTGGTATGGTGCCTTTGGCTCTTAGTCGAATTTTATCACAAGAAGAAGGCAACAAGATGCAGTCACAGAGGTGCTTTCATTTCTAATATATGTTTTAAAGGATTTTCAATATATTTTAGCAGTTTCCTAGGCCGTGAGGTTTGAACTTTCTTAAAACTGTCATTGCATTCTTAATTGTGGGATAAAAAGTTGCAATTCTATGTATGTCCTTCAAATGCTTGCATTCAATAACTGCTTTTTCTGCCCATGATTTATCACGTGCAGGATATTTTATCTATCCATGTTTGAGATCTCTTCTGAGAAAGGAAAATCTGAAAAGATATTTGATTTACTTAAAGATGGGGCAGATTTGTTTATCCAGCAATCATCGATTAAAGGCATGCGAGAGGTTGTCCTTTGAATTGCTGTATAGCTTCTCTTTGTTGCATTTTCTTTTTCCAGTCTATAACTCCTGCGGTTCAAAGAGATCAAATAATTGTGTGCGCTCTGGTGCTTCTGAACAGGCTATACTTTATGATCCTCAACAAGCTGAATCTCTAATCGCATCTGGACTTTTGAAGCGTGCTACAGCTATGACAAATTCAAACAATCAATCTAGGTAAGTTTTGGTTATAAATACTTATGTTGGTCTGTGGCTGTTGTTTTGCTTTATGCTCTGGTTTGTGATATTTGAGACACTGTTACTAGTGTCTCTCCCTAATTATATCCTGAAACATATGTTTTATTTTCTTCAAAGGTTGGATTTCTTGCTTAAGTGACTTTTCTTTGATACAAAGCTGTGCTACTCGTACTTCTTAAACTTGAAATGATTGATGGAACCATTCACGATAATGATCTTTTCAATTGCGAAAACCAACCTTTCGTCATTAATCTTCGGAGGCGAATTACATATTTATATACACAATGTGGTTTGCGAGCTATTGCATAGGAGTGGGGGTTTTACCCTTTGCGCACCCAAAGGTTAGCGGCTACGGGTTTCCTTGTCATAAAAAAAAAAGAATTACTGAGACTCCCTTTCTTTTGATAAACCCAATTTGGGATTTATCATTCAAAGGGAAGTGGACAACTCGAGAATTAAAATAGTAGGTATTGGATTTGAATAAAGAATTAATAGAAGACGGAAAACCAAAATCTTGTTTTGAATCATTCTCTAGTTTACGTACATGATGGACAGGTTAGGTTTACACAGTCATGTTCCAATTGTATTTATCATGATGAAAGTTTTAACACCATTGCAGTCGTTCACAGTGCATCATAAACATCCGTTGTGAATATAAGGAGGTAAATGGAAAAGTTGGTGATAACTCAAACAGTGCTGTCCTGACCATAGTTGACCTTGCTGGAGCTGAGAGGGAAAAGAAGACTGGAAATCAGGTACAGATTGTCTTTGGCCACTGAATCATATCATTACACAAAAGCTGTTTTATTGAATTTTAAAAGATCCCTTTCTGTTAGTATCTTTGATTTTACTGTCAAGACTAGGTTAGACCTCGATCTTCAGACCACCTGAAGAAGATTGTGACTCTTCAGTCTTTCTTAGACCTAAGATATTATGTTGCAAGTTTGGCGGTTAATATATTTCTCTGGTTTGCAACATCTCACTGATAATATTACTGATGTCTAGGGGATTAGACTGCTCGAAAGTAATTTTATCAACAACACATCAATGGTGTTTGGCCTATGCTTAAGGGTATGTAGCATCAATCTGGTTTTCTGACTTCCGTTTCATGAATATCGAGGTATGCCACTCTTCTTTTTTATTCATCTACTGGAAGTTCTGTGCAGTCATTACTGGAGCATCAGAAGAACCCCAGGAAACCTATGCAGAAGCACTTTCAAAACTCTTTGGTACTGTTTTACTTTCTTATCCTTCTCCGTCACTTTCCAGTAAATTTTATTGGTCTCTAGTTACTGCTTGTTACTTTTATATTTGCTTCTATTTGTTGAAATAAATCATTTTGCTTCTATCCAATGTTATCTAACACAGTTCCCTATATAATGCATAGGAAGGTGTAATAAATGTTTCACACAGTAGATCTATTAGAGTAATATCTTGTGTCAAGTCATATTTCAGACAAGTTTATGTTAAGAAATAGCTTGAACAAAAATGTGATTGTAGTGCTAGATTTGGTGTCGAGGTCACTGCACAGTTAATTAGAGATTAATATTCAAGGTAGATATGTTCTGTACTGCTATATTTTCTTCCTTCGAGTCTTTGATTCCCAGTCCCCAAGTCAATGTTGAGGCTGTTTGTAAAATGGTTTTATTCATTGGATAGGTGATATTGTATTCCCAGCTCTGGGTAGCTATTTTTCTCTCAGATAGAATATCCTTCATCTTACTTTCCTTAGTAATTTTCTGGGTTCTTCTTTTGCATAGTTGACCAGATACTTGCGAGATTATTTGGAAGGCAAGAAGCGGATGGCATTGGTATGCATTTACTCCTGCAGAAATCAGTTTAGATATTTGAAAACTGTCATGAACTGCTAAAAGTATTGGAAGTCCATCAATTTTTTCTGCTCCACAATTTTCTTAACTTTGTCCTTTGTGGCTTTCTATGTCCATGCTGCAGCTTCTAACTGTAAGACCCGGGGAAGAAGACTACCTTGATACTTCTTTTCTGCTAAGGCAGGCTTCACCATATACAAAAATAAAGTATGACGGCTGTTGTAACAATTGCTTTAGCATTGACCTTTTCAATTATTTAGAAGTAATTCTTGAACAAGGAACTGTTGATGCAGGTTTGATACCATTGAAGAACATGGAATTTTAAACCACAATAAGAGGCCTGTGCAAAGAACACCTAGCTATGTGCAGCTTAAAAGAATGAAGTTGAGCAAAAGTGAAGATTCTGAGGTATATCTTATTTGTCCCATTTTTCTATTTTACATCCTGCACCCTAGGCTCTATGCTTAAGTACATGTTTCACCAGAGGCTTGGCGCGAGGTGATTGTCTAATCCAGTTTTTTGTGTGAGGTGATTGCTTACTGAATTACCAGTTTCAGTTAGTCTCTTAAGATTATCCTTGAACCTTCAACATAGAAAGAAAAACCATTCTGATCTTTTTGTGCTTTAAAGCGACTCTTGTAAGAAAACATCTTTTGACAATGTCTTGGGTCTCAACTTTAAATAACCAAGTTAACTAAACATTCATACTGCTTAGAAATGATATCTTGTTCTACCTCCAGGGTTTTGGTCAAGTGGGAGGAGTGTGACGCGTGATGTGTGGGTTGGGCTGTCACAGGTTCAAACCTTTCTAGAGACAAAAGCTTAGTATTTAAGTGGAGAAGGGTTAGAGGGATTGGCCTATTATACACTGAATTCATAATTTTGTGGTATTGGCCCTCCAGGATTTCTTTGTCATAAAAAATAGTCAATATTTTGATCCAGCGCTCTTTCATTAAGATGATTTTCATATGTTTCCTTTGCAATATTCTTTCAAAATTGTCTATTTATTGTTCATTCACCTATTATGGTTAAACAGAACATATTATTTAAAAAATAGAAACAATACAATCACAACACCAGGAGATGTAGTGAACTAAAAATCAAAATTATCTGTGAATATGCTGAAAACTGAAAAGTTAAATAAAAGCCTAAAATTACATGGAGATACATCTGTTATAATATTGATCTCATTGTACAAATGGGAAAAGAAAATAATTATTTTTATATACATGGATACTATCCACTAAAATGAGGGGACAAAACTAATACTGTTGATTACAGACTAGGAAACAAAATTAAATAACATACTCCCTCCGTTTCAAAAAGATTGGTTTGGTTTGACTTGGCACGAAGTTTAAGAAATTAAAGAAGACTTTTGAATCTTGTGGTCCTAAATTAAAGTTATGTCAAATGTACAAAATTGCCCTTAATCTTGTGGTCTTAAACATGCCACGTGGAAAGCAAAAAGTAAAATGTTACCAAAAAAGGAAAGAGGTCATTTTTTTGAAACTGACTAAAAAGGAAAGGAGGTCATTCTTTGTGAAACGGAGGGAGTATTATCATTATAGGAGAATGCAAACTTGTTGACATTATCAACTACACAGTGACTCAAACAAAGTTTTATATACGTGTGATGTATTGGGCTATGTTTGTGCTCTGTATCCAAAGTTATATCATGAACTGTTCATAAAAATTCAAGCTACAGCTTTGGGGTAACTAATCTTCTGCTCATTGTAGTTCATAAATATTCAAGCTACAGCTTTGGGGTAACTAATCTTCTGCTCATTGTAGGTGTAGGTTTTCCTTACTAGCAGCTTCGGCCTTCAAAAAATTCATAGCTATTATTTATTCATGTCAACTGTTATTTTCATGCAGATCAATCAAGGAAGTGATGAGTGTCCTCAACTTTTGAATAAAGGTTATCAAAATGTTCAATTCTTCCATCTCTCTTTTTCCTTTTTTCCTTTTTTTTTTTTTTGTAGAATGGACTGTAAAATATTTCCGGCAGAGGATTGTGTTTAAAATTGATTGCTTCTGTTGGATAGAGGCGGCCGCGAAAGGAATGAAGGATGTCAGCTTGACAGACGTTCGTGTTCAATCTGAGGAAATCATCACTATAGGAGCAAATGTGGGGAATATTCTCAGAGTTGATCAGGTTGAATTGGAAAGGAAAGAGAGAAATCATCACATTCTGCAAAATTTTGGTAAAGCTTTGTGGAAAGTCTTGAAAGAATACAAGAAAAAACTTGAGGTATAATGCACTTACAATTACTTTTGTATAACTTGCTAATGTTGGATTTTAATATACTTAAAGTTCCATTATTGGGCTTTACCAATTAGGAACTACTTAGATTTGGTTATACTGAGTAGTTGTGTTCATGTAACAGGTGGCAGAAAATGAAATCTGCACCCTCAGGAATAGCTTAACTAGTGAGAAATCTAGATCTGCTGAATTAGAGAATCAACTGAGGGATTGGCAAAGTAATTGCTGCTGTAGGGAAGGAAAAAAATCATTAGATTATGAGGTACATGTGCCAGAATCATTTTTATATTGCTAATACTTTCCTTTTCTTGTCCACCATATATATTTTAGTTTGGATCTTCTCTTCCATTTCACGTTGAGATGAGATTCTGAAGTAGATAGGTAGTGATTTTCTTAACTATATACTCTTTGTTCAAGGTTTTCCTAACTAATATCTTTATGTGTTCATTCTTGGGCTTTACCATTGAGGAACTATATTTGTTTATACTGAATAGTAATTTTCATGTAACAGGTTGAAAATGAAACTTGCACTCCTAGAGATCATATAACCAACAAGAAAACAAGATGCTCTAAACTAGAGGATGAATTGAAAGATTGGCAAAGTAACTGCAGCAGTAGGAAAGGGATTTTAAGTGAGGTTTCCTCTAGAGAAGTGGATGAATTTGAAAGAAAAAGTTATTCAGATTTGGAGGATCATCAGTCCAATGACTACAATCAGGTAAATAAGCAAGATTCATCTTGGAGAACAAGTTTTAGATCCTTTAATACTTACCTTTTGTTAGAATAGGAATAGGAACAAGAATAGTACACAATAGAATCCTAATTTAAAAAGAATTAGTATATAGAATCCTACTTAGAAAAGGAGTGTAATGTCTATAAATAGGGTCTCAGTGTAATTATGTAGAGACTCAAAAATTCAATAATAATATTTCTTGTTATATTTATCTCATGACATTAGAGCTTCTACAATCCTGGTAGAGAATCAAAGAACTTTCTTTGCTATTCAAAATCAAGTTCTGCACTCTTTTTGTTTCCTAAGTCAACCTTATTTTCTCTTCCACCACGTGTCTTTGGGAGCATCTGTTTTGTCTATATCATCACTCCAGGAAATGACAAATTGGCTCCTCGTGCTCTAAAATGTATGTTTCTCACCTAATAAAAAGAATGTGTCTTTCTTTATTCAAAGGTATAGAGGGGATATCTCTCGTCTGACCTCTAGTGATACTTTTTTTTTTGATGACAAGGGAAACCCGCAGCCGCTACCCTTTGGGTGCGCACAGGGTAAACCCCCTGCTCTTATGCAATAGCTCGCAAACCACATAGGAGAGGTAATCCGCACTAGGCAAGCCCGGTACGACGAGCTTGACCCAGAAGGCAAATCCCTTGCTTTCGCTGGCAAGGGGTTTCGAACTTGAGACCTCCAACCCCAAGCCCAAACCACTGGGCCACCTCGAAGGGTCCTCTAGTAATACTTTATGCTCGCTAATGTTACTTTCTTTGAAGGCCAACCCTACTTTGTAGAACATCTCATAGAAGATGAGGGAATTCTATTAATTAAATAACAAGATTTAAGGATTGGATTGCCTAAAAAACACAGCCAAAACATGGGATTCAATCAGAAGAGTGCTAGTAGTCTCAATGAGATGCCTATTCTGCCTTTCTGCTACATCGTTATACTGGGGTGTATGGACAAGATGTTTGGTGAATAATTCCTTGGTGAGTCATAAACTCCTGAAACTGAGAGAATAAGTATTCTAAGGCATAAACACTACGAAAAGTATGAATAGAAACACCAAACTAATTTTGTATTACATCAAAGTAACTTTTGAATATAGAAAAGAACCTAGAACGATCTTTCATTAAGAAAACCAAAGTGCATCTTGAATAATCATCAATGAAACTAACGAAATCCTAAGGTTGAATTGACTCTACTAGGACCCTAAATACCATAATGAACTAATGAAAATAATAGTCTTTGAACAACCCTTAGTACTTTGTGAAAATGTAACACATGTGTGTTTCCAAAATTGACACGACTCACAATCTATTTTGAATAAACTAGACAAACTAGGCGCCATCTTCCGCAGCTTGGATAGACTCGAATGTCCTAAACGTTTGTGAATTAGGTCTGGAGGATTTGTAATAGAGCATGTTGTGAAGAAATTTGAAGAGGTAAGATAATAAAGACCTTGTTATACATGCCCCGAGCTAATCATCTGTCCCGTACTGTGGTCTTGCATGAGAAAAAAATCATCAAAAAAAGTTATGCCACAATGTAGGGCACACGTTAAACAACTAACAAATGCAAGAACCCGGGACATAAAGAACAGACAGGTAGGGTGACATAAGAAAGGGGTTTGGCTTTTCCAACCCCTGTTGGTTTTGTTTGGATCCCATTAGCTAAAGTAATAGCAGGAAAGGATTGTGAATAAACAATATCAGACAAAAGTGATTTGTTACAAAAAATGTGATTAGGAGTGCTTGAGTCCATGACCCATGATCCAAGAGTGCTAGACTGGAAACACAAGCAAAAGAATTACCCGCAACAAAAATATCAGGTTGAGAAACTGAAGCTACTTGTGGAGACGTTTGCTTACTTGGTCGATACCGAAGGAACTCATACAATATGCGCATTATTGATGGTCGATTAGGATGATCAATAGATGCTACTTGTGGATATGTCTGGTTACTTGTGCGATTTCGAAGGAACTCATTATATTCCTTTAGAGCAATAGTATCATAACTAGGTGGTGGGCTATGCAAAATATAATATATGTCATGAGTGTGTCCAAGCTTATGACAATAACTACACTAGGACCGAGATTTTCCAAAATGACCTCATTATCGCTGATTCTCCATAGATTGATATATTCATTTTTCTATGGTGTAAGATGCGAGAACAGAGGAGTCAATGGTGGGTGATGAAACTACTTTGTGACTGGGAGGCGAGGCAACACGAAGTAGACAAGATAAAAATACATCAATTGTAAGGAACTGCAGTACTAGCTAATATTTGATCACGCACTAAATCATGGTCAGTAGGAAGTCCAACAAATGTAAGAACTAGAAATAACGTCTGCCTGTGCTCTTGTTGTTTTTCCACATTCGTAGTAGTTGACATTTACGTTTAAATTCCTCCATGACTGCCTGTACCTATCCCAAGTAAGTAGACATATTGGATTCTTGTTTCTTTAAGTTGGCCATTGGAAATATCACATCAGTTAATCTAAATATGTCACGAGTGTATAAAGCACGAGCCTTTTCCCAAACTAAATAACATGTCTGGAATGGGGAAATAAGGGGATCAACTTGGAATCAATAGATCGCCATAAGTGACTACATAATTGAGCATCAACCTTCTCCCATTATGCTTTGGCTTTTGCATCTTCTTCACTAGCCTTTGCCTTTTATCTACCACACACATTATTCGGTAAGTGGTCTTTGACACCTTTACCCTTGCACCACAACTCAATCGAGAAAGCCCAAGCTAAATAGTGTGAGCTTCTTATTAATAGTTCTGAAGTGATCATAGGGCTTGAGCTTCCTATATTTTTGGAGTAAAAAATATCAATCTCGAAAGACATTGTGAAATTAGGGGTCGTTTGGTAGCTGGATAGAGTTATGCAGGTATTAGTAATGTGGGTATTAGTTATACATATATTAGTTATGCAAAGTTTAATTATACATGTATTAGTTATGTAGGTATTAGTTATCAGAGTTTAGTAGTTATATAAAGATTACAATACATTAGTGAGTTATCTTTTTTCTTAATTCCAAAAATAATTAACAAGAATTTAAGCAAATAAATTAAAAGTAATTAAGCAATTAACAAGACAAAAAACTTAAAAGAAAAAAATTTGGTAGTGATTACATGTATTAATTATTTGATTTGTTGTAAATTAATACTCCCTCCGTCCCATTTTATGTGTCACTTTTCGGATTTTGAGATTCAAACAAGTCTAACTTTGACCGTAAATTTTTCACAGATCTTTTAAACATTTTGAATTATCAATTATTGTGACTTATAGTACTTTTTACGTAGTTTACAAATATATCAATTTCATTTCAAAAAAATTGAAAATTCCATGAGCAAATTTCCGGTCAAACTTAAACTGTTTGACTCTCGAAAAATGAAAAGCGTCACATAAATTGGGACAGAGGGAGTATACATTTAAAAGTAAATTAATAAATTAATAGGGGTGAATATGTAATTTACTATTTTAATACATGTATAACTAATACTCACATAACTTATTCCACTTTCTATGTCGCAGAAGTTATACATAGATTCCATCATAAGTTATGTAAGTATTAATTATGTAGGATTACAATAAATGCAACCAAACACTGTATAAAATTAATGCATGAATAACTTTTATACAACATTTGAAAACATACCAACCAAACATTGTTTCAAATAATACATGAATGTTTTTTATCATATTTGCAAACCAAACATGGTATAAAATTAATACATGAATAACTAAGTTATTCATGTATTAGCTTTGGGCTTATCTACTACCAAGCTACCCCTTTGAATTGTCTCACAATTTTTATTTTTGGAAAAATGGTGCCTTTATCTGAAAAAAAAAAGGTTCAGTCATCGGAAATAAGATTTGACTGCTGGGAACTGGTTGGAATAAAAAAATAAATATATGGTCAGCCTCATAATGGTGAGGCGTCCTTACCAAATATTTTTTTGTTGAAAACTGGCCGCCGCCATGCGCCGGCGTGTGAAGGGCATGGTGACATAGATGTGAGTTTTCCGGCGGCCTGTGACTCACCAAAACTCAGAGGAGCTCACTAGGGTTTGCTCGCTTGAGTGTTCCGCACCTCGTGGTGGTGGTTTCCGCACAACACATATAAAACAAAAAAAGCCAAACCAACCTTTGACAGACAGTGGAAGTTGACTCACGCTGACCCATTTTCTTTCTGTAAGTTTCTTAGCACTGCTGTGATACCATGCGAGAGATATTGGAGAAAATATTATTGAATTGTTTATCTACATTATTACATAAAGACAGGGGCAGACCTAGGTGGAGCCTAGGGGGTTCACCCGAACCCTCTCGTCAAAAAATTACACAATATATATAAGGTCAAATTCCGATTTTATGCGTATATATATTAAAATGACCCCCCCTGAAAATAAGGGACAGGCTTGGCTCAGTGGATCCCCTATGTCACGGGTTCAAATCCCATGCGCAACATTTTTTTCCCTCTTTTTAATGCTTTGGAAATTGGAACTCTTGGGCTTAGACCTTCTTTTTCATTATTGTTTCCTTTTATGCCATTTCTTCTTTCTATTAGACACATTCTTTTTATTTTTATTTTTTATTCTTCTTATATCTATTATTCATTTGTTTCAATGTAACTCTTTTTTCATATACTAACTTAAATAACTCTTTTAAAAAATGATGAATTATATTAAACTTGAAATTGAGATAGAAATATATTTAAAAAAGAAGAAGGTAAATTAGATGTAATTGAATGAAGAAACTTAAATATCGTCAACATCCTTTTAAAAATTAATTTCATAGAATTCATGAAATTTATTTTATATTTTTAATTCTATTTTAGAGAGATGGAAACTAAAATTATTTGATTTATTCGTTATTTGTCTTTTTGCAAATTATGACTAACCTAGTAAATTGAACTATAAGAAATAAAATAATTGACAAAGTTATTTATTTATCTTCGGAATATACATTATAATAATAGTAACTCTAATCTTACACACTTCTAGAGAATCTTGACGATTTTCATAGTAATATGTGATTGAATGAATACTAATTTAAAATTTTTAAAAAGTGAAAAATATAATAAAAAATTACAAAATAAAAGTATAAAAAGCACAAGAAATTTTAAGAATGCTCAATGGAGCACGATAAAAGCAGAAAAGTAGAAACAAATGCTTAATACGGTATGATAAAATAAGTCAAATTTAGCATGATAAGGTAAATATCTTTTTTCTTGTCTCGCTCCCTTTTTCATCATTTAATTTACGTGTTTTAGGAATTAACTTATGTAATACAATCGATCCACTAAAATTCTTATCAATGTATCTTTATCCTCGGTATCTTTGATTAGCTTAGTTTTTACTTTTATGAACCAATGAAATATCTATGGTTCCTGTACAAAGAGCATGACGAGGGGCTACTACGCTTACCACGCACTTGCATTACCACCTGAACTTCTTTTTTGTACTTTGAACCTCCTGAGCAAAAATTCTGGGTCCACCACTGCATAGAGACCCTATTTATAGACACTACAATACAATCCTTTACCAAATAGGATACTATGTTCTAATCCTATTCCTATTTAAGTAGGATTGTATATACCTATTCCTATTCTAATAACAACGTCATCAGTTTCTGGTAGACAAATTGATGCCTTTTGATCCACCAACATCAATTTGAGGGGAATGTTAGCATGTTGGACATATTCTAATAGTTGTACATATCTGTATAATAGCTCTAAATACTTGTGTTATATGATATCAATTGCTTTCCATATGTAGGAGATAATCAGGGATTATGTAGCATATTTTTAGAGATATAACAATGAGGAATAACAGATATTAGGGGTGTAAACAACAAATTTTTGGGCATATAAATCAGAATTCTTTCTATTTAATGGAAGAACTCTTCATTTGAGAGCATTCATTCAGCAAACCTGACAAGTATAATTTGTTATGGACTGCTCAACAGCTTGAAAGTTCAATTGGAGATGCTAGTGCTATTGAAGATCTGAAGAACACAAATGAACTGAAAGCAGAGAGTACACATTGGAATGGCAAAGAGACTGCTGTGTTAAGTGGGTCATGCTCTTCCATTGATCAGGAGTACGGGCGAAAAGAGGAAAGTTTTGGTAATAATAAAATTCTGAATCTTCTATTCATCTTCAATAGTAGTTGTATAAAAATCTTTTTGACGCTACTTCTCCCTATGATCTGTACCATACCTCTTACCTTCATTTCTTTTTGTCACATGTCTTTGATGTTTGACTCAGGTGCACTGATTACTATTATCTGTTCTAACTTTGGAGATTCTATAGTCAGCACTTCTCAAGCGACTTTCATAGACAGAGACACGAATACCCTGTTGGAAGAAGACCATTTGCCTTTTGATTCAGTACTTCCAGAACGTTGTACAGTCAGCACTTCCAAGTCATCTCTCTCCTTTGAAAATAACAGCTCTTTTCTAGTGGGTGAGGACCAAACAGAAAACAAAGAGGACAAGGTCAGTTCAGTTATGCTATTAGTCACATTTAGTTATAAATTTCTATTTCACAAGTAATTCACATGTTTAATCTCTATTTATTTCACAAGGATACTTATGCTAATTATCGCTCCTGCTAATGTTTAATCTAAAATGCATTAATCCTAAATTTCTAACAACATAATGTTCTCAAGCTACTATTGTGTTTCTTCTTTAAGAAAAACAACACAGTAAAATTACTTTCGATATTTTTGATGTCTTCTGTGTAACAGCTAGTAGTTTGCTTCCCCTTACCATCATGTGCATGGAGGATGTTTAGTGGGTTTCTTTGGTGAAGAAACTAAGGTTAGACCCACCCTTGCTGATATAAGGAGATGGTCACCTGCAACTTGGAAAAGTGTATTTGGGGGGAACATCTATGAGATGTATGGAGGGATGTTCTTGTTTGAATTTCCGAATAGATACATGGCTGAGAAGATCATTCAAGGGCAATGGTTCTAAAAAAAGACCAGAATGGAGTGAACTCCATTACAGTTGAAAGAACATGGATTAAAGCGGTTGGAGTTCCTCTCCATCTGTGGTGGCTGGGTGGCTACTGAAGAAGAATCAGAGCTGAAAAACCATTTAAATGGGCTAGAAATCTTGTGAAAACTGATGGTAGGAAATTGCCGAGGGAAGTTTGCGTAACTCGACAGGTAGAGCCTAACTCGGGGACATCTATAAAATAATGAGAATGATAAGAAGACTTAAGAAGCCTATAACTCCTTTGTTCTACTGACGTATACGCTAATGAGCTTTTATAAGTTTACAAAGTAAAAGGGATAGCTACAGGGGATAGCAATTAAGAGGGCAGAGGATAATTACAAGTACAAGAGATAATTACAAAGAATACAAATATAATTAATGAGCTGTAGATAATGATAAAGTTATACTCTAACACCCCCTTCAAGCTGATACCAATATAAAACAGAGACGAAGTTTGCTAAAATACACAGAGACGAGCTGTTGTCCAAGCAGTTTGGTAATGATATCTACGATTTGGTCAGCACTGGAAATGAAGCGAATTGAATGCCTACCTAACTTGATTTGCTCTCACACAAAGTGATAGTCTAATTCAATGTGCTTGGTCCGGGCATGTAATATAGGATTCACACTCAAATAAATTGCACCGATGTTATCACAGCACATGATAGCAGGGACAACAGGTGGAAGACCAAATTCGCAAAAAGAGAGCTTACCCACATGATTTCAGCTGTGGCATTGGTCAGTGATTTGAATTCACCCTCTGTTGATGTTGAGGCTTGGGCAGCAGTGGGTTGTTTCTTTGACAACCAAGAGATCAGATTGCTGCCATGGTACACAAGATATCCATTAGCAGAATGCCGGTCATCTGGGCAGCCAGCCTAATCACTATCTGAAAAACTGTGAAGTTTCAAGGTAGAATTCTTGGAAAATAAGCAAACCAATGTTGGTTGTGGCATGAATATAGCGCAGTAGACGCTTCACGGCTTGCCAAAGAACGTCAGTTGCACAATCCATAAATTGAGCTAGTTTGTTGACACTAAATACAATGTCTGGGCTAGTCTAGTGTTGTCAAAGGCATGCTTAAAGCATGTTTACGCCCTGAAGCGTTGCTCAAAATGTGTTGAGCGCCTCACTTATTGTAATTTTGTGTCGTCATCAATGTTCTAAGGCATACTTCCCTTTGCCAATGAACATCTTCTGAAGAGGTGACACTAGACAATTGATATTTCACGTTGTCTTAATTTTTTTTTCAATATATTTGTCATTTTTGCTTATAATCATTAGTCCTGGACTAGACATATATTTGTATTTTTTTCTTCCTTTGTGCCTTTTTCATTAAAGCCCACAATATAATTGGACTTAAAGACCTAACAACCTTAAACATTTTTCGTATTTTTGCATTTGATTACACTAGACGAGTCAAGGTCATGTATTGCAGGGAACATACAATTTGACAATATTGCTCAGAATTTGACAACGGCTCACCCATTGTCTTGCTCAAATTCGTAATCACTGCCATCAGTGTGATAGACGACCTAGATTCTTTAATATTTGTCTCTTTCAATAGATCAGCCGCATATTTATTTTTTGTCAACAATAGGCTGTCTGATACCCTTTTCACCCTCAATCCCAAGGAAATAATTCAAGGCACCCAAGTCGTGGACAGGAAAGATTTCCTTAATTTTGGTTAGAAACCATGGCAACTTAGAGGAATCTGAACATGTAATCACTATGTCATCGACATAAATCAATATATAGATTTTTAATGGACATAGAATAAAAACAAACAATGATGTGTCGGCCTTGGAGGAGTGAAAACCATGACCCTCAAAAAATATGTTAAGCGTTGAAACCAAGCTTGAGGAGCTTGTTTAAAGTCATAGAGAGTGCTATGAAGCTGACAGACATGATCAGGCTTGGAAGGATCAACATACCCTAGCAGCTGTTCCATAGAAAATTTAATGTCTAATTGGGCATTGATGTGCCTCAAGTTATAAAAGCTTATTCTAGGAGGCCAAATTAAACAATTAAGAAACTTAGTAATTGTCACGAGATAGTTACGGGGTGGTTTATGTAGAAAAAGGGGCAAGGCAGTTAGAAGAGGGCGTTCAAAGAAAGGAAAGGGAATTCTGGGAGAGTTCTAGCCTCTTGAATGTCTAGAAAGTTTGTGATATGTAATCGTTCATGTCTTAGGATGTAATTTATGGTGTTGGCAGTGTCCTAGTGGTTGTTCTTTTTGGACTTCTTGTTGTAGTATCATTGTATCTAGTGTGAAACAACATTATTTATTCCTTTATTTACTATTTCTGTAGTAAAGTCTATCAATTTGGTATTAGAGCAATAACGTTCAGGGATGGTGAGTAGAATTGAGGGACAAGTTGAACAAGTGAAGTCTAATTTGACATTTTCTGGAAGGATGGTTGATTGGTTTCAAGAATTGAGAGTCTCTTGCGGGAAACATGGGAGAACCATGATGGTAGAAACATTCCTTTCTCAAACCAGATCCATCGGGAACCAAGAAAAGGGAAGCAATGTCAACTTGGTTGGAGAAAGGTGGGAGGAAATTTCGGAAGCTACAACTATCAGTTTTAGGAGAGGATCCTTTAGGATGGATTTTAGAGTGGAACGGTATTTTGCTGTAAATGAAATTTTTGAAGCGGAAAAATTAAAGGCAACTTGTGTTTGTTTGGAAGGAAAAGCCTTAAATTGGTATTATTGGATAGAATCTCGGCAACCAATGTTAACTTGGGAAGACTTCAAAAGGGAGTTGTTGAATAGATTTCGTCATTTTCAAAAGATCAATCAATATGTGTCAAGACTCGACTTCCCGAGTCATGATGATACCTACTATAACCCACGAGTAGGTAAGTCAACCTGTACCTAGAACGACAAGTAGTGAGTACAAGGGTAGAACTAAACAAAAATAACACTATCAATAAGAAAGAGACAGAGGCGGAGCAAACCAAAAGCTATACATATAAAAGAAAACTTCTCAGAACCTGGAAGTCACGAGTACAAAGCTGTCTAAACATGAAAAAATACAAGTCCCAAAAGTGAACCACAACAAGCCGTCTCAGAGGCAAAAGACTAGCTACCATATATACAGAAGGAGACAGGCTGATCCAGGACGCCAAGTGCTCACCTTCGTCTCCGATATCCACAAGCTACAAAAGATGGCACGAATGATCACTGTTGGTAGCTGGTACTAGGACCTGCATCATGAAAAAGATATCCAGTCAACTCCCAGCCTAGCTAGCAAGAGTGACAATCAATCTAGGCCGCTCAACCAGCCAGTCCACTCTTAGGGGTGTAAGCCGCTCAGCAAGCAAGACTGCCCTGGGGGCGTGTCGAGGCACTAAACTCCATGTTTTAGTTTGATGTAGTGCATCCAATTCCTATTGCATAGTGTCACACCATTCTTGAAATTTCTTAGCTTGAAAAATATTTTTAGGTTCCTCCAATCGATAATTTGGTTTGGTTAAGGCTATATGGTTTTGGTGTTCTTGCATGGTGGTGGGGCGAAGTTGCGTGGAGTGGGTGTGAGATGGTTCTGAATTGTGTTCTAGGGAATTAAGTGGGCAAGGATTCAGGAGGTGTGTTAGATAAAGGAGAGAAATGTAAGGGATTAGATTGAGATGGGCTTCTTTTGGAGAAGATAAGGACACACAATTAGGTGGATGAGAAATATTAGGAAGAGAAAAATTAGGAGGTTGAGACGGAGAAAAAATCTTACCATATAGTGATGCAGTCTAAGTGAGGTTGGAATGAACATGGATGTGCAACCATGAGTTATGGTTCCTTGCTAGATGAATTGGCCTAATTTTTCTTTGTATGGGAATTCTTGTGGATGAAATTTGACTTGTCTATCTAGTTATACTCGAGCTGTGGATTTATCAAGGCACTTATATGCACTATGACTTGGACTTTGACCAAGACAGACACAAGGTGATGTTCGAAATGAAAATTTATGATGATTGTAAGTCCGAAGCAATGGAAAAACCAAACATCCAAAAGGTTTAAAAGAAAGGTAGTTTGGGTTTTTGTTGAATAGAATTTGATATGGGGACGTTTGCTTAATGACATTTGATGGAAGAACTTCTATTAAAATGACACTGCTCAATAGCAAAATTCCAATATTTAAGAGGTATGTTTGCATGACCAATAAAGTAAGACAAGTATCTACAAGTGCCGAATTTTTCTTTCAGAAATGCCATTTTGTTCACGTGTGTAAGGACATGTAATGCGGTGTATGATACCAGTTTGATCAAAGTATTTGTTCAATTTTTGGTAAGTACCTCCCCAATCAGAATAGCTTTGATTTTTTTTTGAAATTGCCTTATGGAAAATGGAATGAACATCACTTTTATTTTTAAGAAGATAAACCCATGTAAATCGAGTAATATCATCAACAAATAGAACAAAATGACGATGATCTGTAGAAGAAAGAACTGGGGCCGGACCCCAAACATCAGAGTGAATAATTTGAAAGGGAGCTGTGCTAGCATGTTCGACAGACGCTAAAGAAAAACAAGATAATTTTCCTGAATTAAAACTAGAACAAGGACTAAGTTTATTTGTAGAGCTAGATAACTGCTGAATTGTGCCTGCTTGCATTTTGTGGACAATTTGTAAGGAGAGAAGTTCTAGATGTTTGAATACTTCTTTCTAATGCTATAATATATCTGCATAATTAGTCCTCAAATCTTTGTTGGAAAGGTTAGGTAGAAAAGCTGCTTGACACTGAAGCATGTTTCCATATGCATTATACAATGATAAAATGCATTACTCTTTTTTATATCCTTCTACAACTTTCAGATCTCTTTCCACTTGAAGACTGGTATGCCCTTTCTTTTTGTCGGAAGGAGGCTACTTATTTTGTGGTTATATCAATGTTTCAGGTGAAATCAGAAGTTTATTCTCGCCATTTGGAAGGGTCTGCACATACAAGAAATGAGAAGTGGCTTGACTCCACTGTAAGGCATATGTTTTCCTTTCTTGTGGTCTTTTCTGTATAGAACACTTTGACTGTCAGCTATCCTAAATAATTAGGTATTTGTTGTCATTCATGGAATGAAGTTGAATACCTCAAAAAATATTTCCATCAGTTTAATGAAAATTTGGGTATGTAAAACCCAGAATGATATTCTTTAGAAGTTACAACTTTGAGCATAATCTGTTATAGACTGCTCAGCAGCTTGAACAATCTACTAGAGATGCTACTGGTGTTGAAGATCTGAAGAATCCAAATGGAATGAAAGCAGAGAGTGCAGATTGGAAGGGCAAAGCAGCTGCTGTATTAAGTGGGTCATGCTCTTGCATTGATCAAGAGTACGAGCAAGGAAAGGGAAGTTCTGGTAAGAGTAAAATTCTGAATTCTATTCATCTTCAATAGAGTACTTGTATAAAAATCTTTCTGATGCTATTTCTGCTCTCTTTGAGCTGTATCATATCTCTTAACATTCTTCTGTTTGTCTGTCTCATCCTCCTTTATGTTTAAGTGCACTAATTACCAATCTCTGTTCTCTGTGTGGAGATTCTGTAGTTAGCACTTCCCAAGCAACTTCCATAAACAGAGATGAGAACTGCCTATTGGAAGAGGACCACATGCTTTCTATTTCAGTATTTCCAGAATGTACAGTCAGCTCTTCTAATTCATCTCTATCCATTGAAAATAAGAGCTCTTTTCCGGTGAGGAAGAACCAAACACGAAACGGAGAGGACAGGGTTAGTTCAGTTATGCTATTAGTCACCTTAATTATAAACTCCTGTATCACAAGTAATTCACATGTTGTATCCTTTATGCTTCTTATCACTCCTACTTAGGTATAACCTAAAATGCATTAGTGCTAGCAATGCAATGTCTCAAGCTATTATTTATGGTCTTCAAGAATAACAGTACATTAAGTTAATGTTCTTGGTTTGATGTCTTTTTGCTGTGTAACAACCACTAATTCAGTAGAAAGGTGCAATAGTTTTGCTGTTATATCTAATTATCCTTGTCAAGTTAGTTCCACATTAGTTTAGGGGTTAGTTATTTAAATGAATTTGCATCTTATTGATAGTTGGCACCCTTCATTTCTATTTTGCAACATGTTCTTTGTTACTAGTATTTTTTTTTTTTTTTATGACAAGGGAAACCCGCAGCCGCTACCCTTCGGGTGCGCACAGGGTGAACCCCCCGTTCCTATGCAATAGCTCGCAAACCACATAGGAGAGGTAACCCGCACTAGGCAAGCCCGGTGCGATGAGCTCGACCCAGAAGACAAACCCCTTGCTTTCGCTGGCAAGGTGTGTCGAACTTGAGACCTCCAACATGGAAGTCCCAAGCCCAAACCACTTGGCCACCCCGAAGGGGGCTAGTATTACTCAAATTTTAAGCTAAATCGCTGGAACAGATTACAGACACCCTACCAAAGTTCATGTGAAACTAATGATGTTGCTATTAGTAGTTTAAGCATGGCCTTGTTTTGTTACAGTATTTGTTGTGAACTTCCATAAAGAAGTAGCTCATATTTCCCATGTTTGTATTAAAAAAGGCTTAATACATAGCCAACTCCTTAAACTTTCCGGGGAAAGATATTCTATTTAGACACTCAAAAGTCATGTTCCCATTTGCACACCTCAACTCCTAATCAAGTGTTTCAATTAGATACTTTCGGTTCAAATTTTGGTAAAGAAAAACTTTTACACGTGTTTCCATTTGTCTATTCGATAATTAAGTTAACCACATAAAATATGTCATCTATGCAACAACCTCAAGTAGAAAACACCCGGGTATTACAATTTATTGAAGCGAATATGCCTAATTAAAGGAGATGACATATTTTATGTGGTTAACTTACCACGTAGTAGATGAATGAGAACACACACAAAAAAAATGAAAAATTTAAACCAAAAATGTCTTATTGGAACACTTTATTAAGAGTTGAGGTGTACCATTGGAACATGACTTAGTTCGGGTGTCTAATGGAATATTCTAACGAGTTTAAAAGATTGACTATGTATTAAGTCATTAAAAATGTATAGTTTCTGAATGCTGATTGTTGTTAGATGTAATTCTATTTTATTGCTACAAGAAAAAAATGTCTGTTTAATGCTCTAAGAATGCAAGTATGTATCATTATTTAGTAGAACAAGAAAACTCAATTCTGTAGTTGATGACTGTTTCATCCCATGGTTCAGCATCATGTGTTTCATCTGACTGTTTATATCTTGAGAAATAGGTAATATAGGTTATTTTCTTATGTAATTCAGAGACTATTAGGTCCATCAACAACGTTAATGCCTGGGGAAGTTGTAGGCCATGGTGACAACAATGTAGTTGAAGCGGTTACTAAACATCGTTCCGGCACTAAATTTCAGAATGCAGATAAACCAAAAAGGTGTGTAACATGTTCTGTTTTCTTATGCCAGCTCCTAGTAATGCAGCTTGTTTATTCCTAGTGATTCTGTAATATTTTTATCCAGGACTAGGAGACTTCTACCAGTTTCGTCCATTTTATTAAAAGATATAGGCAGCATAAACTTCAAGGATGAGAATGAGAAACCAAAGGTGAATTTCTGGTGGTTGTCATTTCTTTCCTTTTCCTTTTATTAACCATTATCTGTATCCATTTTAAAACAGTTCGAATTAGTGTGCCAATTTTTGTCCTTTCCCTGGGTTTGAGATACTATATTTTCTACGTCTAGCTCTTTTTTTTTTTTTTTTTTAACAACCATGCGTGTAATGTTTGACGAAAATTTACTGCAGGGAGTTAAGGCAGAAAAGAAAGGAGCTTCTGGTGAAAACAGAACTCAGGGCAGCATTTCACTTCTTCGTTTGCTCAAGGATAATCTTGCTATCTAGTGCATAGTGCAAAATGATAACTGCATTCTAAGGTTTCATCTGCAATAAACAACAGTTTGCTCTTGCAATTAAGTTCTCAAAATGCTACTCTGATTATTTTTGAAAGCTCATAAGTCTTTTTGAGACTTGAACGGAACAATGTTCGAAAAGAACAAGACCAGACATGGAAGAGTTCATGTAGCTTATGTTTCTTCTGATGGCTGAGTGATTTTAGATCCCTTTTTGGTCCAGGAGTTCATTTGTATTTAAGTGTCTAGTTTGGATAAGAAGGTTCATGGAAATATATTTTTCGTAGAAAGTTTTTTTGGATTATTTTTAGTATTTGGTTGGGTATAATTGTAGGTGACATTAATCTATATAAAGGGAAAGTTAGATAATATGCAAACATATGATATGATATGTATTTACTCTACACAACTATAGTTTAAGGGGTCGTTTGGTGTGATGGATAAAGAGAGTTTATCTTAGGATAAACTTTGAGTCCTTTAATCCCTTGTTTGGTTGCAAAGGCTGGGATAAGTAATATCGGAATAACTTATCCCGGGATAATGACAAAAGTATCCCTTTAAACTCTTTTTATACATTACTTTTCATAACATTTATATTCATTCACATTATTTTTAATAGCATGTATAATAATATTCACAACCTTCACTACTTATTTTTATGAAAGTTGTCCATATTTTTCCATTAAAAAATTATGCTATATAAATATAATTTTTATTTATGAATTTATTTGACTAATTCTTATGTTTATTTATATTTTGATTTCTCTACTATAGAATTACATATTTTTAATTATATATTTTTGTAGTCACTTGAAAGTTTGTATATTATATATTAACTAGATAATTACCCGCGCTTCGCGTGGTGTTGAATGACCTTGTTAAAATAATGAATGATTTTTTTCTTGACATTATTTAAACTACACATTTATTTTTAAAAAGATGTCATAAATTAGAAGATTTGAAATTGTCATCCGACTATAGCATGCATTTCTCAATGACTTTCTCTTCCTAAGTGATCTTTCATGATTTAAACAATGGAAAAGGACCTAAAATGCGCTTGAATTATTGGAAATAGTACAAAATCACTCTCCATCCACCTATTGGCTCCCAAATACCGTTTCATCCACTTTTGAGTCCAATATTGATCACTTTTATAGCCTATTATCATTTAAATAATTTTTTTAAATACTTGACAACCATTTATTGACTACAATTTATTTACTTAAATTAATTTACAAACTCATCTGTTATACCCTATCCAAATTAACTATACTTGACTCAAGTTAATTATACCCGACCCTAATTAACTACACCCGTCCCTTATTACATTTACCCCATCGATTAAAACAAATACACCCTTCATTCCCAATATTTCACTTCCTCTTTCAACCTTACTTCCCCAATATATTCACTTACAATCTCAAAAAACACTACCTAAATACATGTGTGTATTTAGGTATTGTTTTTCGAGATTGTAGGCGAATATATTGGGGAAGAAGGTTGAAAGATGAAGCGAAATGTTGGGAATGAAGGATATATTTGTTTTAATCGGGTGTGGTAAATATAATTTGGGACGCGTGTAATTAATTAATTTGGGTCAAGTGTGGTTAATTTGGGTCGTGTATAATTAATAATGAGTGAGTTTGTAAATTAATTTAAGTAATTAAATTGTATCCAATAATTGGTCGTCACGTATTTAAAATAAATATTTGAATGATAATTCGTTATAAAAGTGGTCAATATTGGACCCAAAGATGGATGCCAGGGTATTTGAGAGTCAATTGGTGTATGGCAGGGGTATTTGGGAGACAATAAGTGGATGGAGGTAGTTTTGTACCATTTCCAATAGTTCAAGGGTATTTTAGGCCCTTTTCCGTTTAAACAAACATGCATTTTTCGATGGCACTCTATTCCTTAACGATCTTTCATGAATTAATCAAACATTGATTTATCTATTTTCGTTTTTATAAAATTTACAACATTCAATTCGACGACATATAGTTTATATTTTCTCAAGAAATTCACAGGTTTTCAAAAAATACCACTATGAAAATTAATGAACAATTTAAATAAGTTGTACCTGTTATAATACAAAATTGGGTAAATAATAAGTAAATGATCGTTTTGATTGAAAATTGTTGATCATAATATTCGTCCATTCATTAATTTGCACCATTCAAGTAATAATATGAACCCTTTGTGTTAGTTTTTATGGGGTAATGAAGAAACATCAAAAAGTAAAGAAGACACTTAATAAAGTAAAATATAGAGGCAATCCAAACTAAATCTCTACAGTTGAGTATGAATGCCATTTTCTTTTCATAGTATACAAAAAATATAGTTACACCGGTTAAAGCCACAATTCTCCTTATCATCCATTTTCAAATTTGTTGATACATGTAACACAATACAATTAGTCATAGTGGCTTCCAAAATAATGAATCAATAGTAAAAAGAAAAGAAGTATCTTACTAACACTTGTTTTATGAGTTTAAATTTATGATTGAGTAATGCTTGCATTGAACATGGAATGAATTGAACTCACATGTGGTTATTATTTTTTCAAAACATTGCTTATTCTTATCTTGTGTAAAACTCTATAGCGGCCTCAAACATTAAAAAGTACCTCAGTCCAATTCACTTGTAGAATAGATATAAACTATCCCAGGGAAGCTTTTATCAGTCTCCTCACAATTTTTAGTCAAGCTGAGCATTTTCAGATTTTTCTTTTAAATTCTGGATACTTCGTCTCATATTTTGCTCTAGTTACATAAGCAAAACGGTTTACCTTGCAATACAAAAAACAGATGGTTTCAGTAGTCTGTTCCATAAGTATAGTGCAACATTGCAATACAAAAACAGATGGTTTCTTGATTGTCGAAAGCTGTGGCATAACAAACATAAATGATCAACAATCATACTTCATTTGACAATTCTATCAACTTTAAGTAATCTATTTTGCAGATGCAACCACATTATGGATAAGTAATTTGTGTGACCTGATACATAGTTGCTTCTTAGCTAAATACTTGAATGGCAAAACAACAAGGAAGAAGAAACAATAGAATGAAACAGAAAGGAAAAAATCGAGCCCACTGAATGCACAATCCCCTTAAAGAAATTATTTTCCTTTAGTACTCGAGGTTTAAAGAAATAAATCCTTTCAGGATAGAACGATTTTATTCACCAGTGTATTGATGCAAAAACAATGGTGTCAGTGAGCCACTCAACATGAGCAAAGTACATGAATATTTAATTGTGCAGAAGAAAAAGAAGTTCAGAATTTTTGTTGGTTCAAAATGAGAGGAAACCTATCTATTTATAGACAACAAAGGGTAGTGTGAACAAATGCTTATTGTACCTTATCGAAAAGGTCACAACCTTTCATAAATGTTATAACCTTTCATAAAAGTCTCAACTGTTTATTAAAGTCACAACTTTTCATAAAAGTCACAACTTTCACGAAAGGGGAAGGCTAGTTTTGGAAATAAATGAATTAAAAGAGAATCCTGGTTTGTGGTGGCGCCACGTCAGCCTTAAAGGTTCTCTCTTTTATGTATGTGTATGTATATATATATGATTAAAATATAGATAATTTTAATATTTTACAATTTAAAAGTGATATGTGCTTAAATGAAGTGACATAAATAACAAATTATCTTTTGCTTTAACAAACTTTAAGATGAAAATTTTATTTTTAAGCTAAATAAGATGAAAGTTTTATTCTTAAACGCAGACGGTACAATCACAGGAATGCACGCACAAAAATATCTAAACTAAATAAGATGAAATTTTATTTTTAAGAATGAATAACCAAAGTGTCACGACCCGATCCCTCGAGTCATGATGACAACCTATCAGTAGGTAAGCCAATCCATAACCTAGAACAACAAGTAATTAATATAAGGGTAGAAACACATCGAAAACAATAATTTAATAATAGAAACATAATGAAGTAGTAGAAACAATCAAATCGATATATATATGTATACACACACAATAGATCCCTCCTAGAACCTAGTAGTCACAAGTACATAATTGTCTAAATAAAAGAGTACAAGTCCCAAAAGTGGACATATATACATAGCTTGTCTCAAAATGCAAAAGACTAGCTATCCAAAATACTGAAGGAAACAAGTAAGTCTAGGATGCTAAGTGTTCACCCTCGCCTTCGATCCAAGCTGCAACAGGCTCGAGTAATCAACAGTGGTAGTTGGTGCTTGGACCTGCATCATGAAACATATATAGAGTGTAGCATGTGTACCAAAACAACATGTACTCAGTAGGCATCATAGGACGACTGAGCAAGAAAGGTAAAAACAAATATGAAATGATAGAATCTAAACACAAGTAAAGTCAAAGCGAAATTTAAAAGAAAAACACATGATCGTACCAAGACCGAAAAGAACTAAGTACAACTAAACTAAACCTAACTGGACCCCTATAAGTCCAGAAGGTATACTCGTGCGCAAGTTTAAGTAAAAACATGAATGGACCCCCATAAGCTCGACAAGTACACAAAATAGCTAAAACTACTAAGAATAAGATAATGTGAGTCCAGATCCAGAAAAGGCATAAACCAGACCTTTAATCGTGAATAACTTCCAAGTAACCAACAAGAGCCACCCAACTAAAAAGTATAGAGCCCAAACTTCTAACTGCATGTGAATCTCCCAGGGGCGTTAAACCATAGCCAAAAGTGTGTCGACTCCATAGAGGATAAGACCAAACCTTGAATCTACGAAAAATAAGGGTTGTTGAAGGATATCATGACAATCATCATCATAGAATCACCGTGAAATGACATCCACTCCCAAGTGGTTAGTACGACACTCCAAATGCGAACCAACTCCACTCCCAAGTCGCTTGGCGAAGCTCGAAATCTGAAATGTTGCAAATGGTGTTGTTGAAGAAGGAAGAATGGATAGAAGGTCGTCAAAGCTAAGTCAACACCTAATCTAAGGCTCATTCTATCAGACTCTAGTCTGCTACACCATTTTACAAGAAGCTAAACAGTGTGAATCGACGTTGGAGTAGAAATAAGGCCAA